CTTGCTGGCAACATCATACTTTGTTGGCCCAAAGCTGTAAGCATCCCATGGTGGATTTCATAAAGCCCAGCGACCAGTCAAGAAATCTTCACGACTACATCTGCTGAAAGATTAATTTTCGTTGCCTATTGCTCTCCAGACAAGTTTCGCTTTCTCAGTATTAAGGAGTACCTCAAAATTGTCCTTCTGGACTCTCAGACTGTCTCGCTTTTCATTTCGGAGGCGGCGATGGTCTGTGCCTTGTTTAGCGATTGCACCTTACCAAATATCGCCCATGAATCAGTTTTTACCTTTTACATTGTTATATCTGCCCCTTTGCGCGCTTCTGCGTGGCTCATTTTATAACTATAACCATTATAGCTGTCGTATCAGAAGCATTTCTTTAAAATATTATTTCCATTGTTTTTTATCCCTGAAATGCTTTAAATTTTCGTTCACTGCCAAAAGAGAAAAATGTGCTAGTAAGTATATGCCACTGCTACAGACAACGATAACTGACATCAGTTGAAAAAACATTCATTACCAGAAGAAGTCTCATCGGCAGCCACAGTTCCTGTTAATGCTCCGGCATTTTACAATCACAGAAAGATTCACGACAACGTTTCACACATTGGATTTGAACCCTCGCTTTGTTATTCTTCGCCACCACATCCACGGTCCTGTCTATCAGTGTTTTTGACAAGATGACCGATGCCATTGTATCTCAAGCAGTATGTTGCCTGGTTCTTCATTGCGCTTGTGCAGGGTAAACCTGCAATTTTTGGTAGAATTCCCATTAATTTGACATGTGACAACATGACAGATGTTCGAAATTTGATCTGTGATATCGTATCACTTGCTCCTCAACGTAGATGCCAAAAATTGACGATGGCTGCATCGATTATCCAAGTGAAGGGAGGCCACCACCGCTTTTTAAATGGATAGATATTGCATGCACTTACAGCGATACCCGTATAACTGTTATATGCTGCTGTACTGACAAGTCGAAGAACTTTGATACATTGCTTCTGTTCGTTAAACCAGCGCTTTACATTACCAGTTGCTGCCGCTGAAAATTGAGTTGAGGCAACGGTGACAGTTGCATCGTCCAGCAATCTGGTAGCACTCCAAGATTTCTCTCTGCATACCACACCCTACATGTACCATAGTTTGCTTGGTTTTTTGGCTGGCGCTAGCGGAATACCTTTCGGAAGTCTGTTTTTGCGAATTGTTTCATTGCCATGATACCCCTGTATTGAAGTTGTTGTAAGAACAAGAACAGAGAACGCTTGAGTAGAGCTTGTCGAAGGAAAACCACGATGATCAGCTCGCAAACTTTAGTCCAAACGTTCACTTGATGGATATGCAAGCAATTCTGGGTTCACAGAAAAAAATTCCATGCTCACTACTGAACTACCAGCAACAGGCTGCGTGTTGTTTTGTTGCCGAGTGGCTGCTATAATGCGTGACTGCCATTTCGTGACTACTACTTCGCGGCGAGGGTAACGGTTCACGCTTCGGATCAGCATCAGACTCGCTGCTTGTGGACCTTCATGGCCACCACCAATTGGGCATCCATACGTTAAGACTACTTACGCAGGAGCAGCAGGTTGACGAACACTCAATCTGTCGACAGCAGCAACTTATCCACCTCACCACTGCCCTCAGCTGTTTGAACTGCTGGGTCTAGCAGCTTTAGAAATATTTATGCAATTTCATATTACATGGCTTAAAGCGCCTCGAGAATTTGCAATGTCGTCAACGCCTTGAACGCCAAGAAAAAGTTAGTGAAACCTAAATACTCTACGTAATATTGCATTGCGAATAAAACTTCTCTGTGCAAAAAGGTGTGGCACAATAGTGGACCACAACAGATAAATAACTTTGAGAGAAATAAACAATTAAGTACAAAAAAATTATATTAATGTCTAAATGAATTCTTTAGAAGAGGAACTGCCTAATATTCAAAACAATACATGTTGCAATAAAGATTATAAATTTAGTTTACGACCATGCAGATAAAAATTATTGCTGCCGCTACATCTATTGTTATTTTATTTAAATTATTTAAGTTTGATTTGTGACGTTAACGTCAACACAAAAAGTATTTACCACGGAAGCCGTCTCTACATTACGCAACCGGCAGTCCATAATGCGTTAAGGCTCATTGCTTCCACGTCCCCTCTTGAATATGGCCATCTTTTCGTTGACAGTCGAACCTGTGGCTTTCACCTAAAGGTTCGTTTCTCAATCCGAGGTCACAATCAAGAGATTTTAAACTGGAACGTTCAGGAGTAGTCCCAAAAATTTAACTTTTAATGGACATCCTCTCGGCTTTGATTGACCTCAACCCGGCTTATTATTGCTATCTGTTCCAACCATCATGAAATGTTGTTTGCTAACTTCAGCCTCGTATCCGTGAAACATAGAGTTTCCCATTTGATTTGCTGATTATTTCTGGGTCTAGAGCCTCGCTTAGCGATCCGTCTTTTTCATCGGAAAGTACCTCAGACGGAGTTCAGCTTGCAGCTCTGTTTTTCTCATAACTCGATCATCCATTACAGAGCAAAGATTATCAAATCGATCATCGAGTTTCTCCATACCAAGAATGCTGATGCACTTTTCGATGTTCAGAGACAGCGTTTACAAGTGAAAATCCATTATTTGCACAAAATACAACTTCACGCATTATTGTTGAGGCCGCTGCGGCCGTGCTTCGAAACCACGCCTTTCGACTTTCCAATGTCTGCAGCAACATGCACATTGAAATCGCCCATCAAAATGATAGATTCTTCAGCCGGCACATCTTTCAATAGGAAGCAGAGAGATCGAGGCTACAGAAGGCATGCGCGAATAATCGTCAGCCTGTCCCCAGGTAGCACCAGGTAGCAAGACTTTGTTTACCACGTAATCGTCAGTGAATTAACTGGACTATTCTGTATAAGACACCGATGCAGAACCGAACTGGTTGGCTCTGTTTTGAGGCGTGTAACGAATTTCCTCCACACAGTGCCTTCGCTGTAGATCCAAACCTCCTCACAATCGAGTCTTATAATCGCTTTCCTGGAGACGGCACCCAGACAGGATGCAAACCAACGAACACGTGGAGCGAAAAGCTTGCCAAAGGAGTTCAGCGACTTTTCAACTAATTCTGCGCTGCCACCCCTGAAGGTCATGATCCGTTGGTCCTATTGCTGATTACGTGCTTTTAATGATCAATCTTCCACTTATATCTGCTATACTTGTTTCCAAATATAGCCAGCATTATTGTTTACCGTTAGGTCGGTTGTGATGTATATAATTGTTTTGCTCTGCGTGAAAATCGTTCTTAGGGTAGCTGCAGAAAGCAAAACTAAATTCTCTGCGGAGTGATTTCAGTTATCAGTACGCATGCATTGTGTTGTCATATTTAGCCGAAAAGTTGATATCAAGAAAATTGCTATTTTGTAGATGGTTCAATGCCAATTTGCCCCTTTGCATAATCGAGGTCTTCCTGACATTACCTGAGTTTTCCTTACCATGTGGAAAAGAGGTGAACCGTAGTCTTCCTATGGAATCCCACGAAAGACTATTCGCATAATCAGAGAGATGCTGTGATCTTTCGTCAAGTGCAGTGCGAATTGACGACATTTTCGACAATTCTTTCGTATGAGGTTTGGAATAAGGCAATGAGGAGCGAAATTTCCACTGCCTTTCACGACATTTCTTGACTGGATGCTCCAGCCAAAACGGAGGATTGAAGCCACAGCGGTAAGAGTGAGCAATATCTGCTCAAACTGTCTTGCATTTGCGAATTGCATCGTAATGCTTGCAGACAACCTCCAAGCTGCGACCTTAAGGCACAAACTCTAAAAGGGAAACGTTCTACTCTGGATCCCTCCACTAACTTTAAACAGGATGAAATGGATGTAAATCGATGGAACCTAGACCAAAGGCTGACTGCCCGTTGTCACCGAAATTGTGGAAAACGTAACAGAAGATGTGTATCTTGCAAGTACACTGGCTGCATATGGAGGAGTGGCAAACAAAAATGAGAGGCGCTCTGTTTGGCATTAGCAGCAAGCAACAAGTTATCCAAGATCCGGAAGAAAGCGGATGTTGGCGATAGCTGCAAACTATGGATATACAGGGCTTCCGTTCTGAACATCATTCCCTATAGATTGAAGAGGTAGCACTTAGTAAAGCTGAAAATTTGATAACTCGAGATATGAATATTTTAAGAGCAATATTAGGCTTGTAATGGTGCGACCTCGTTCAAGCGCTGCTGCACGAGAGAGATTAGAATCTCCAAATAAAGTGACCAACTGGCGGCAACAGAAATATAATTGTCCCACCATCACATGAATGAACGATAGCTATCTTGCAAAGCGGATGCTGATAGTAAGCATGATGGCCGCCAGAAAGACCTCTAACAAGACGGAAAGACTTCGTTAAAACTGACATGTCAGCGAAGGGACCGAGCAGCGAACAAGTTTTCATGCGGTGGAGCCGGAATGTTTGTACAGCACCCGCCATCGCCTTTGATGCGATGGGATAAGGCAAAGAGTTTGGGCCTTTTTTATGAAGATTAGACTCACTCAGTGAATTCCGAAACTAGTTTTAACTACCTTTGCGGACAAATGAAACACGTGTTTATTTGATCACTCGGTTGGACATGACCTGTGAGAAGAATTGTACTTTCCAAGGTTGAGTTTCTTGACTGGGCCAACGAAAATCATAAAAGCCACCACCTGATTAAATAGAAGTCGAATTTAGAGGGAAAAATGGTCAGCAGAAAATCGGGATGGTCAGCAAGGTGGTTGAGAGTATGTTTGTGGGGCAAACACAGCCGTGCCTTGAATATCTTAGATCAGGCCGTTGTGCTAGAAAGGCGGCACGGAACCGTTTGTTTTCGAATGTGACTATCATTCGGCAACCAAGGGCAAACTAGGCGACGTTCGTTCAACTATCGATCGCTTGAGCGCACTTGACAAACGGGCCAAATTGCAACGGCGACCAATGAAGTGACAAGACCGAATATTTTATCGCCCTGTGATGGGCGCCGTGGCGCTTCTCGTTGAAAGTAAACACATCGTGTGCATAGCCAGCACCAACACCAGCCCCAGCACCGGCACCGGCACCGGCACAGGCACCAGCGCGTCCGCACAGTGCTTGCGACAGTCCGCACAGTGCTTGCGGCACCGACTCTGTATGTACAGTTTGATGTTTGCGTCAGCTCGCTGATCGGTGCGACGCACACAGCTGCCCAGAGGTCTTCGAGCACACCCACCTAAGCTGAAGGGTGACATCGGTGCTTAGCCCCTGCCCCTCAGACAGTAGGCAACAGCACCTGCGACGCCGCTCGACAATCCGTACCGCTACAGTGCACCGCTACCGTGCACCGCATCGTCGTCGTCGAGCCAACTACGCAAACGCTACGCAAGCACAATGGACGAAGACTACGTATTTCAAATGTAAGTGTACGGTTACGGTAACCAGTGTCCATACGGTCGACGGCGACGGTCGTTGCTGAGTTGGCTCTGTTGCCGTCGATCTATAGTGCGTGTATGCGGCGGACGTATGTCGGAATGTGATTAT